TCCGCCCGGCGACCCGGATCGCGGCAAGTGAGAGAGCCGGGAAGCCGGGTTTCCGAGGTGACAGGAGAGCGGTGTGACCACGTGGTCAGCTGCAAAGGAGTGTTGGGAAAGGAGGAAGCCGGCCGGCGTCTCGAAGGAGCAGGGAGAGACAAGGCGGCTTATCCGAGTACCCCCCTAGCTGTATCTGCACCGGAGAGAAGTCGGGTGCCCCTGCTTATCCAGGAACCACGGATACCCCTATGGGAGAAGATTTAAGGGGGGAAAAAGTTTATGAAAATGACCCTGTGGAATCCCCAAGCAAATCGTTTTGAACTGATGTCAGCAAGCTGGAACCGCACTGAGGAGAAGGAAGGGTGAGCTGGGTGAGTGGAGGCAGCTGAAAATGAATTTACGGTTTATTATTTTCCTTGTATTGTTCATGATACGATATAAAAAGAACAAAGGAGAAGAGAGAGGAGAGGATTCCCAGGGCTTTTGAAGGAGAGATTAATTAAGCAACTGAAGCAGGAAATCTAGAGAATAATTTACCAGGCAAAGAGGGGACCCTACTATAGAGTTGTAATATCTAATATCATATGGAAAAATAGAAGAGCCCCATAGAAGACATGAAGAATAGGAGCATTAAAGGAAGTGGCTTAAAGGGTCCCAATCAGGAACAATTAAAAAATATACGTCGCAGGGAAATATAACCCCAGAAAGGTCACAAGGTACAAATGGAAAAAGAGAGGGTGACCTCAGTCTGGAAAAAAGCCCTAGACTATCACTGGGCTTGAATGCTACTAATCAGCAGATATCGGAAATGGTGGAGAGAAATGGAAAGTGACCTACAAGCACCAAATAAAAAAGAGATGGCAGAAATGTTTGGGGCCTTAGAAAATAAAGAATGAAATGGCAACTATCCGGAATGACTTGGGGCAGGTGCTGATAAGAGTGGAGTAAAAAAAAGTTAAATATCAGGCCCAGAACATTTCTCAATTAGAGGAAAAAAAAAAAAAAAAAAAAAAAAATAGAGTATGGAGAAAACTCAGAAAGTTACTGTACAAACTGGAAGTACAAGAAAATAGGGATAGGAAGAATAATCTAAGGCTGAGAGGAATCCCAGAGACTATAGAAGGGGAAACATTACAAAAAGAAATATGTAAAGTTTTAAATTTTACAATGAACAGAGCCGCGTCAGGGGTGATTAAAACAGATGGTGTTTGGAGAAGAGGGAAAAAATATCAAAACGGTGGGAAGGAAAAACCGAGAGATGTAATTGTTTAACTCCACAGATATGGGGATAGAGAGGAGATCTGGAGGAAGATTAAAGGGAAAACAACGATTAAATATGGTGAAATGGACATTCAGATTTTTGCAGACCTTACACCAGAAACCTTGTGGAGAAAAAGAACTCTGAAACCATTGATAGAGCAGATGAGAAAAAAGAAGGTGTTTTATAGATGGGGAAACCCAATTTGCCTGATTGGGTGGAAAAATGGGACAACAGCCTACCTGAGATTCCCAGAAGATATGAGGGATTTTTGCGAAAAACTTGAGTTGCAAAGGATGGAGATTCTCGGATGGGAAGAAGAAAATAAAGAAGGAGGAGAGGCAAGACAAGAGGACCGGCAGACTGTTAGGGGGAGAAAGTAGAGTTAATTACTGCCTAAACAAAGTCCTTTCTGAGATCTTCCCTAGGGGGGAAACCGTGGAATGTTAATTTTAAAGAAATGATATAACGGATGGGAAGAGCTGGGGAGGAGGGCGGGAGGAGGAGCTGCCCATGGGCAGAGTTCAACCCCGAAGATTAATCAACAGTGGTTCTTAGGCCCACAAATGATTAATAGGTATATTAGATGCCTAATGGTGGGGGGGGGGTTGAGAGGGCAGAGATGGGGAGTGGGAGGGGGGGAGGGATGGGGTTGGATAGGGGGGGGGGGGATGGGGGCGGTTGGAGAGGGGGGAGAGAGGGAAACCGCTCTATAGGAATAAGAAAGAGGAAGGGAAGGAGGAAGAAGGAGTTAGTAGGAAAAGAATAAGATGGAAGAAATCAAATATATGACCTACAATGTAAAAGGGTTAAGCTGTCCAGGAAAGAGATTTAAGTTATTTAAAGAGCTGCAACATAGAAAATCCTCAGTGGTATTTTTGCAGGAAACACATTTAGAGATAGAGTCGAAGGTCAGATTGAGGACTAGATATTTTCCAACATGGTTTTATGTGGACTCACCAATTAAAAAAGGGAGTGGCTATAGGCTTTGCAAAGAATATAAGGTTCGAGGTGGAGGAGAGATTAACGGATTTGGAGGGAAGGTTTTTATTTTTGAGAGGTAAATTACAGGGAATTGAGTGTACAATAGCAAACATATACAGTACAAATAAGAGGCCGGAGAGGTTTATGAGAGAAGTGTTGAAAAGATTGATGGATTTTAAAAGGGGGTGTATGATAGTAGCGGGAGACTTTAACATCTGTATGGACCCGCGGATGGATACCACTTCCTGTGTGAAGAGGGAGGAAAGCAAGTCCTTGAGAATGTTAAAGAAATTGTTGCATGAGTGTCAGCTGGTGGACATCTGGAGAATCAGGAATATGAAGGAGAGAGATTATACTTTCTTTTCGCACGTCCATGAGATTTATTCTAGACTAGATTACATATTAGTAGAACATCGAATGATAGAGTTGGTGGCAGAAGTAAAAATTGAAGGAAGCACCCTGTCGGATCATGCCCCAGTTGCAATGAAGTTAAGATGGGGTAGAGAGGGGAGAGAAGGATATGTATGGCGGTTGAACGAGGCACTTCTTATGGATGAAGAGATTGGTCAAAGAATTGAGAGGGAAATAGAATGGTTTTTTGAAGAGAATGAAACAGAGGATGTGTCAATTGCAACGGTGTGGGAAGCACATAAAGCTTACATCAGAGGTCTACTCATTGCAATGGGGGCAAAAAAGAAAAAAGAAAGGAGAGAAAAGATAAATAGATTATTAAATGAAATATACGATCTTGAACAGGTACATAAAAGGGAAAGATCTAAGGAGATAATGCAGATGTTAATAAAGAAGAATTAGAGAATGTAATGGAGGAGGAAAAAAGAAGAGCCTTTAATAAAATAACAAGTGAAAGGTATAGGTGGGGAGATAGGCCGGGAAAGTATTTAATAAGAACTTTAAGAAAGAGGAAAAATAGAAATTATATTGAGAAAATAAGAAATCCCAAGGGGGAATTAGTACACTCAACTAAGGATATTGCTAGAATATTTAAAGAGTATTATAATGAGTTGTATAATATCATACCTCAGGACATGTTTAAGAAAACGTAAATAGTAAATAGAGGGAAAAGAAAGACATACCTAGAGGACGCAGGCCTACCGAAATTAAGAGAAACACAATTGAATGCTTTAGAAGCAGAAATAACTTCAGAGGAAATAAAAAATAGCGTTAAAAAGCATGGCGGGAGGGAAAGGTCCGGGTCCAGATGGATATACGGCTAAATACTATAAAAAATATAGAGAGCTTTTAATACCCAAGATGAAGATTTGCATGAACGCCTTGGGGAACGGGATGGAGATAAGAGGAGAATCTCTACAGGCTAATATAGTATTGATACAGAAGGAAGATAAAGACCCCTCGCAATCTGCGAGTTATCGACCAATAGCGCTGTTGAATGTAGACACTAAAATATATGCAAAGGTTCTGGCAAATAGACTGAAAGAGCTCATGCCGGAGTGGATACATAGAGACCAGGTGGGATTTGTCTCAGGAAGAGAGGGTAGAGATAATGCTTTGAGATCACTGTTGCTTATACAGGAGGGTAAAAAAGGGAAAACCCCAATGATACTGATGTCGATAGATGCCGAGAAGGCATTCGACAGAGTGAGTTGGGGTTTTATGATGATACCCTGGAAGCGATAGGAATGGGAGAGAGAATGAGAGGGTGGATTGGAGAGTTATATAGAGGGCCTACCGCTACTATAATGGTAAATGGAGGAAGATCAGAGTATTTTAAGATGTCAAATGGTACAAGACAGGGATGTCCATTGTCGCCATTGTTATATGTGTTATCACTGGATCCCTTACTGTCCATGTTTAGGAAGAACATAGACATAAAAGGAATAAAGATAGGAGACAGAGAACATAAGGTAGCGGCTTATGCGGATGATATGATGTTTTATGTTGGAAACCCTAGAACATCACTTCCAAATTTAATGAAAGCATTGAGGGAGTATGGAGAACTGTTGCATCTGAAAATTAACCCGACAAAGTCCGAAATCTTAAAACATAAATCTTAAAAATAGCGAAAAGGAAAAATTACAATTCCCTTTCCTTTGGAGAGACAGGGAACTAAAATATCTAGGAATAAAACTATCAGCCTCAACTAAGAACCTATATAAAGCCAATTACATAGCATTATTAAATGAGATTAAGGAGGAGTTGAGGAGAGTGGGAAATGGAAACCCATCGTGGATAGGCCGCATAAACTTGATAAAGATGGTAACTGTCCCTAAAGTATTATACAAATTTCAAATGATCCCAATCAAACTCCCAGAGGCATACTTTAAAGAGCTTAGGAAAAATGATAGTAAAAGGAATATGGAGGAATAAAAAACCTAGAATAGGTTATGAAACGTTGACTAGAAGTAAAGAAAGAGGAGGATTGGGGGTACCAGATTTTAGGAGATATTATAAAGCGGGGATTATTGCGAGAATCTTCGACTGGATTCATAATCCGGAGAAAAGTTGGGTCAAAATTGAGATAGCACTGAGTGGAATAAGTTTAAGTAAAAGTATTTGGGTACCTGCACAATATAGGGAATTAGAGGAGAGCACTAGTACGTACACTCTTAATGTTTTAAAAGAATGGGATTTATTACACAGACAAAAGGGATGGCTTTTTAATGCACAATTGATACCACTTAGAAACACAAAATATTTCATCCCGGGTAAGGAAAGTATAGCAGGGAAATGGATAATAAAACAGGAGGCGCAATTGAGAGATATAATGGTAGGAGAGGATATTGGGACATATAAGGGGATATGGAGGAAAGAAAGGGAGAAGTCTTTAATAAGATGGATAGACTAAGATATTACCAACTGAAATACTTTTTTGAGAGCCTTCCAAAGCCCATAAGAACTAGAAAAGACTGGAATCCATTTGAGAGATTATTTGAGTCACGGGGAAATGGTAGACACGGAATAGCAAAAATACACAAGATATTAATGGAACTTGACACCGACACTAAATTAACGCACATAGAGAAATGGGAAAGAGATATGGGAAGAGAAATAGAAGAGGAGGAGCAGAGAAAAATGCTCACATTAAATACACGAAAATATTAGTATGAGGGAAGTAGAAATAAATTATAAGTGTTTGAATAGATGGCACATTACACCCAACGTGGAGCATAAGATGAATACGGAAATTTCACAGATGTGTTGGAGAGGCTGTGGAGAGGTGGGCACGTGGTATCATATGTGGTGGTGGGAGTGTCCAGAAATACAAGTGTTCTGGGGAGGATAGTTTATTTGATAAGGAAAATTACCAAAATCAATATAGGATTAGACCCAGAATTATGTCTCCTCCATATCTCAGAGCTCTCGGTGAAAGCATATGAGAATTCTGGAATATGGCATTATTTGACTGCAGAAAAGAGCCTGATACCCAGGTTCTGGAAGAAAAGAGGTGCCAACTGAGGAGGGCTGGATGGGAAGAGTAAATCAGATCTCTGGGACAGAAAAATTGTACTATACGCATGTGGACAAGTTAGAGATGTATAATAAAAAATGGAAAGGTTGGGAAGAACATAGGAAAAAGGTGAAATATATGAAGATATAATATCCCTGGAAGTGGGTTCAGAATTGGGTTTAGGAACAACAGAACAATAGAGAATTAAGGAGAGGGAGCGTGGGAGGGAGAAGGGAGGAGGGTGGGGGATAGAGGTAAGGGGTATGGGAGGGGGGGACGGTAAGAAAAGGAAGTTATATATAAATAAATTATATAAGGAGAAAAGATGGTTATTGATAACTATTTTAATAGAAATGTTGAAATGAATTGTATATGATGTGAAAAACTAATAAATATTTATAAAAAAAAAAAAAAGTGAGTGTACAGCTTGTATAACAGTCTAAATTTGATGTCCCCTCAAAATAACTCAACACACAGCCATTAATGTCTTCACCGATGGCAACAAAAGTAAGTACACCCCTAAGTGAAAATGTCCACATTGGGCCCAAAGTGTCAATATTTTGTGTGGCCACCATTATTTTCCAGCACTGCCTTAACCCTCTTGGGCATGGGGTTCACCAGAGCTTCACAGGTTGCCACTGGAGTTCTCTTCCACTGCTCCATGACGACATCACGGAGCTGGTGGAGGTTAGACACCTTGCGCTCCTCCACCTTCCATTTGAGGATGCCCCACAGATGCTCAATAGGGTTTAGATCTAGAGACATGCTTGGCCAGTCCATCACCTTTACCCTCAGTTTCTTTAGCAAGGCAGTGGTAGTCTTGGAGGTGTGTTTGGGCCCGTTATGTTGGAATACGGCCCTGCGGCCCAGTCTCCGAAGGGAGGGGATCATGCTCTGCTTCAGTATGTCACAGTACATGTTGGTATTCATGGTTCCCTCAATGAGCTGTAGCTCTCCAGTCCCAGCAGCACTCATGCAGCCCCACACCATGACACTCCCACCACCGTGCTTGACTGTAGGCAAGACACACTTGTCTTTGTACTCCTCACCTGGTGCCGCCACACAGGCTTGATACCATCAGAACCAAATAAGTTTCAGTTCCAGTAATCCACGTCCATAGTCTGCTTGTCTTCAGCAAGCTGTTTGCGGGCGGGCTTTCTTGTGCATCATCTTTAGAAGAGGCTTCCTTCTGGGACGACAGCCATGTATCCCAATTTGATGTAGTGTGCGGTGTATGGTCTGAGCACTGACAGGCTGACCCACCACCCCTTCAACCTCTGCAGCAATGCTGGCAGCACTCATACGTCTATTTCCCAAAGACATATAGGATATATGGATAGGACGCTGAGCACGTGCACACAACTTCTTTGGTCGACCATGACGAGGCCTGTTCTGAGTGGAACCTGTCCTGTTAAACCGCTCTATGGTCTTGGCCATCATGCTGCAGCTCAGATTCAGGGTCTTGGCAATCTTCTTATAGCCTAGGCCATCTTTATGTAGAGGAACACTTCTTTTTTTGAGATCCTCAGAGAGTTCTTTGCCATGAGGTGCCATGTTGAACTTCCAGTGACTAGTATGAGAGAGTGGGAGCGATACCACCAAATTTAACAAACCTGCTCCCCATTCACACCTGAGACTTTGTAACATTAACGAGTCACATGACACCGGGGAGGGAAAATAGTTAATTGCGTCCAATTTGGACATTTTCAGTTAGGGGTGTACTCACTTTTGTTGCCAGCGATTTAGAGATTAAAGGCTGTGTGTTGAGTTATTTTGAGGGGACAGCAAATTTATACTGTTATACAAGCTGTACACTCACAACTTTACATTGTAGCAAAGTGCCATTTCTTCAGTGTTGTCACATGAAAAGATATAATAAAATATTTACAAAAATGTGAGGGGTGTACTCACTTCCGTGCGATACTGTAAGTACCTGTAATAAATAAAAATAATTAACCTGTCTATGCAATAGTGTGGGGCTGAGGATATAACGGCGGTACAAATAAAGGATCAGTAAGCAATTAACTGGATCCTCTAACATACAGCTATAGCAGGCTGCAAAGTAGGGCCTACTAGCTAAATCAATGATTTAGAAAAGTGTTTCCAAACATTTGTAAATGTAAACTTTAAAACCTGAAGCATCCTCAACAGTTATGGTCCGTGCTTCAATAAGGCAGGAAATTACTGCATCCACAGTGGGAACAACGCACTTCTTGATAAAGATTAAAAAAAAAAAAAAAAAAAAAAAAAAAAAAGCTACAGGTGGTTCTATTTTTTAATGTGATACACACCGCATTAACCAAGATAATACTTTTAGGCCTGGGAGCTATAGCAATTGCCTGTAGCTCCTTTGGAACAAAATCACACAGCAATGATTTTTGAGACATCTAACAGAATGTTCAGAGGTCTCCAGTGTCCCAGACATAGACTCCAGAATAGAAGACAGATGTATGTTTACAGCTTCTCAGTTCTGAGTCAGAAAGAATAGTTACAATTTGGCTCATAAACTCTAGTATGGCTGAAAAGAACTCCTCCCTGGATAATGAAGAGGAGAGGCCACATCTGAAAGAGCTAAAAGAGACTGTGTGTATGGACTTTATGATATTACCTTGCAGGGGGAATCTTTAAAAGAAAAAAAAAAAAAAAAGACTTTATTACCACTTTAAGGCCTTATTCACATGGGGATTTTTATCAATACATTCTTGTGAAGGGCAATCTTTGCCCGCATGGGATGCACAAGTGTTCCATACAACCTTGTGCAGATGTCTAGAGGGATGCAGAAACTGCACAGAAACAGCCAACGGTCTCAATTTGACAGACGTGTGGGTGCATGTCCACGAAATGCAGACCATGTATGTCTGGGGTCGGACACCTATAGGGCTGTCAAACTGGGACCACCAGCTGGGTTCTGTGCCGCCCAGTAGACATAAAAGGGAATGCCTGTGCATGGATCACCTGTGTATTTTGTGCAGGCAAACATGCCTTTTGCATTGAAGTGCAGATGGATATACCCATGTGAATGAGACCTAACAGGGACAACTTAGATTAGAACACCAGGGAAAACCAAGGTACTCACAAACTAAAGAGATTCAAATGGTCGGAGGTGACCAGGACACTGTACACAGTAGCAAGAACCAACCAAGGATACACCACGTCTCTTGCAAATAAGAGGATGGCGGGAAGAGGTGCTACCTCATTCTGTAAAGGCCGAAAGACCGTGAAGAGTACATGTGTACGACACTGCAGCTAGTGACGCAGCACTAATTTCGCAGCATGGTGAACCTTTCTGTGGAATCCAATGGAAAAAGGAAAACACTGATGGTGCTCAATGGTTCAAAAAAAAAAAAAAAAAAAAAAAAAAAAAAAAAAAGAACGTAGCTCCCTATGCTTGGCCTACATGGGATACTCAGGTCTGCCATGGCTCTAGACCTTGAAAGTATGATCCTATATTCAGTTCAGTGGAGTCTGGATACAGCCTCCAAAGCTCTTGCTCTAGATACGCTAATCTGGACAGCTGCATAGAAAGCCCAACTCAGCATGTCTTGATTGAAGGAAGAAGCAGGTCTTCACTGAAGATAAGAAATAATCACAAAAAGGAGAAAATGGCAAAAACAAAATATTCAGACTTAAGATTTCCATCCTCCTAGGACAAGGGTCCCCAACCCCCGGGCAGAAGGAGGTGAGCGGCAACTGCAGTCCGGTCAGGACAATCACAGACTGCAATCGCTGCTCACCTCCCGCTGTGCAGTCATGCCTGTGTCTCCTCTCCCGCCCCGCCAACAATGTGGTCCTATCAGCAGAGCAGGGGGCAGGAGGAGCTTGAGATCTGCAGAGAGCAGGAGACTTGTCATATTAACAAGAAGGCAGCTCCTTCCACCCCCTGCTCTGCTGACAGAATCAGATCATTGGAAGAGGGGACACTTGTTGACTCATGCCTTTGCCCTACCTACCAAAAGGATGGACTGTGCAGGGGATGCAGAGTGAAAGGTGGCACAGGAGCTGGGGGGGGGGGGGGGGGGGGTCACGTCTGCAAAGGGCACTGTGAGGGGGGATGCTATGATTGCTAGGGGCACTGTAGTGTAAAAGTGGCACAGTATTATAATGGGGACTGCACTGTAATCATCATAGTGTTCCTTTACAGTGCAGTCTGTTTTATATCACAGCCCCCCCTTTACAGTGCAGTCCCCTTCACATCACAGCCCCCCCCCCCCCCCCCCTTACAGTGCAGTCCCCCTCACATCACAGCCCCATAACAGAATCTGTTTATCAACTTTAGATAATACTTACATCAATTTCCATATGGCGAAACTTGCAGATCTGTCGAAAACAGCGACCCTCTTGCCACAAAGTGCAAACAGTTTCATTTCCTAAGGCGGCTTTGCAGTGCCGAAAAGGACAGCTGTCTCCCTGTAAAACCAGAATTTCACATAATCAACCATATATCCAGTAAACATGAATATTATATTGAACCTTAGTTTTATTTTATTCATTTTAGCCTGAAATAAAATATACACTTGATCCTGGAAATTGTCTGTAAAATGACTAAAAAAAGAGACGGGGAGAGAAACTTGATTTGAATGCAGGAATATGTCCTAAATGTAAATTATATACCGTGGCTATAGAAAAGAATCACCCCTCTCCCCTTCCCCCTTTAAAATAATCAAATGTTGTTGCCTTGCAGCCTGAAATGAAAACAGACATAGTTTTTGTTTTATAACACCAACATGTTAGAAAAAAAACTAATTCAAAAACAGGATCTCCAAGTTAGA